GAGAGCCTCCCCAGGAGGATACCGTGGTCAATGGTATCAAAGGCCGCTGAGATGTCGAGGAGGACCAGCAGGGACACTTTGCCCCTATCAGCCTCCCTCAATAGGTCATCACACAGGGTGACCAATGCCGTTTCTGTACTATGGCGCAGCCTGAAGCCTGAATGAAATGGATCCAGGGCATCCGTTTCATTCAGGTGCACCTGGAGCTGGTCGGCCACCACCCTCTCTACCACCTTGCTTAAGAAAGAAACATTGGCGACGGGCCTATAGTTGCCAATTTCGTCCGCCGCCAAACTGGGTTTCTTCCTAATGGGCCTAATGAGTGTCTCCTTGAGGTCAGATGGAAATCTGCCCTCAAGGAAAGACCCATTAATTATTACAGTGGCCCATTCAGGTGCACCTGGAGCTGGTCGGCCACCACCCTCTCTACCACCTTGCTTAAGAAAGAAACATTGGCGACGGGCCTATAGTTGCCAATTTCGTCCGCCGCCAAACTGGGTTTCTTCCTAATGGGCCTAATGAGTGTCTCCTTGAGGTCAGATGGAAATCTGCCCTCAAGGAAAGACCCATTAATTATTACAGTGGCCCATTCCGTTGTTATCGGCCTGGCTGCTTTGATTAGCCAGGCCGGGCAAGGGTCCAAGGAGGAGGTGGTGGCTCGACAGCGATCAAGCGCCCTGGCCACGGAATCAGGCGTGACAGGCTGAAAGGAGTCAAAAATCACAGGGCAAGACGGAGCGCTGGACATCTCTGCTCGACTCACTGTATTCAAAAAAGGAGAGAGTTATTGTGTTCCAGAAAAGACCAGTGTCTATATCACCAGAGGCTTTTATCAAGATTTGCCAACCTTTTTTTTAATTGTTAGTTGTTCTTTCTTTTTAATTAATTATATATTTGTCTACTGGCAACATACTCATTTAACAAGGATTGCGAACGAGTTTTTCTGTACCTATGATACATTTTCCTCATTTGAGTCCTAATCTGTTTACATTCATTATCAAACCAGCCAGATATTTTATAGGCTCTTTCAGGGCCAATTTCGGTTGACTTTATTTTTAGATGTGTTCCTAGTTTTTCAGTCAGGGTTTGGAATAGTTTTATTGCCTCATTGTCACTGCTGGCAGTTAAAATAAATTCTGTAACTCTGTAGATTTTATACTTACTTTGCTATGGCATATGGCTAATGCAAATAAACGTTGATTGCTGGTGACTGGACAATATAACTTTAAAAATTCAGGCTTAGTTGAGGGTAGATTTTGGAAAAAGAAGATTAAAATGCCTTGCAAAGCATACAGTGACTGTTCTTACCTGCTATTCTCATGTTTACCCTTCCTTTGTTACTGATACAACTGCATCTAATCAGATACCTAGGAGAACAGTGGAGAAAAACCAGCATTATATTACAGTCAAACAAGAAAGCAACCCAACCCAGCAATTTCAAGATTCTTTAAATAACATACAATAGTGAAGATAATGACAACATAATCCTAACCCAAAATATAATTCCAGTAAGGATTGAAATTTTGCAGGGGCTATCTGTCCACATGTGATTTAAATGTTCACACATTTCAGAACACCTTTGTTTTGCTTCTATGCTATATATCTTTTGGGACACAAACAGCATATATTCCAGATATTACCTGCATAAATATGCTACAATATCTCTGTTCTCTAGAAATCAAAATATTTAAATTCCAATACAACAGTCAATGTAGATTTGTTTTTGTTTAGTCATTAAGTCGTGTCCGACTCTCCGTGACCCCATGGACCAGAGCACACCAGGCCCTCCTGTCTTCCACTGCCTCCTGGAGTTGGGTCAAATTCATGTTGGTAGCTGGGTACCAATGTAGATACTGGGATTCTGTTTGCATATACTAGTATGAAACAGATACAGACTTGTGTTAATTAAAAATAAACACTAGGAAAGAAACAAACAGTGCTGTTATTCTGCATCTATTTAGGGGAAATTTTGAGTGGAAAGTTAACAGTGAGAATCATACTACCACTACAGGCAGACATAGAGAGTGAGGGTGGAGGAAGAGTTTCACAAACCCATGTTCTCTGAGCATTTTCTGCACAGGAAGCAGCTCTGAAATCTCAAAGGAGTTTCAAAAGCACCTTGCAACATGGCAGAGAGGTCAACTTTTCAGCAAAACAGACAATATTCCACGGTGTCTTAAAGTTCTTAATCTTGCCCCAAATAGCTTTTGCCCCCCCAGCCTTGAATATTCACACAGTGATTTTTCTACAGGCTCAACGCAGACAAGGCATTAAGTCAGTCCGCACAAACTATACTATACAACAAGAGCAAATGTCTCCCAAGCCAAGACATACACAATTAAAAGCACTAACACCTTATATAAATATGTTACATGCCAAATTCTTCCAAACAAATCAACATTTCATAAGAGCTGGAAGGGGGACAGACAGTTGTAGGAATTTGTCCCCATGCCAGAACGTAGGGCACTGGGCGTGACGCCAGGACTTCAGCACAGCTAGATTAAGCATTAATTCAAATGTGTTTTGGAAAAGATTGCTTAGAAATCTCCCAAATTCTCCAAACTGGAACAGAGCTAATTTCAAAATAGACAACTCATTCTGTCCTGTCATTAAGGTTGGAACACAAAAGGGTGCTGGGTACAGAAAGATGTTCTCAAAGATATAGAGCTGGCTCAACAGGATCTGCTAGATGCAGAACAGTTTTCAGTAACACACTTCCTTGAAAATGCAGTGATGTGTGCATACAATGTTTATCTTGAGCATCTGGAGCCCTTTAACACATAGTAGCAGAAAAAAAGTTTCCAAAACCTGGTTGCATACCCACACTCCTTCTGTTATAAAAGTATCTCCCAGACCGGCAAGCCCACAAAGTCTTTTCAACAGGCTTTCATTCAGCACATAAATATAATTTTATATGGCCATAAATATCATTTATTCCACATAGAGATGTCACTAAAATTTTAACACTCAGTTTCAATGAATTTCAATTTTATCAGCCTTGCAAATGTACTGAGTATTTTTACTCTACATAGATACCCAGTGTGGTGTAGTGGATAGAGTGACAGACAATATACTATCATCACATAGCAGAACTCATATCTTTTGGATATTCTAGTGCAGCAGTCCCCAAACTTTTTGCAACTGCCTGTCTGATAGCTTTGCTAACCTGAAAAAACAGCTTCCAACTAAAGCACTTTTTGAAACTGTATTGGTTTCTACATATAAACTTAGCCCTGAGTATCTGAAGTTCTAGAATCTGCAAAAACAGAAAATCAAGTTTCTAGAAAATCACACAAAATGAACAAACATGGGCAGTCACAAAATGAGGAGCTCAGCACTTCTAAGATTTAAAACTGCTACAACTCAGCTGTTTTTGTTACTGGATTAAAAAAAAAAAGTCAGCCATGATATACCAGTCAGCAGTGAGAAACAGATTACTTAATTACATGTTGTCAGCTTGATTCAAATTTAAGGTGGCCAAACTCTGCACCTCTTATTTGTCCTGAAATAAGAAACCAGAAGCAACACAATAAAAAGAAATACTAATACTTTTAAATGTTAGAACATTTGGCATTTGAGATATCTTAGCTTATTACATTAAGATTCTAATGGCTGAATAATTCATGGCTCCAGAAACTGATCTGACACTTCTGAAATTTTTATTCTATGGCAGGCATGTGTAGCCTTGGTTCCACATCAGCTCTAACGCCAATGGGCAAATAGATTTTGAGAGTGGAAGTGGAGGGCCAACAGCTCCCCATCCCTGTTCTGTGACTGCCAAGAAAAATACCACAATGACGGCTTTTGCCAGAAAGTATCAGAATGAGCCTAGAACACCAGATGTGTGAGCTTCAGAGACTTAAGGTACTTCATCTAGAGACTGATGGCTCCTACTGATCACAATCAAAAAGTACTGGGTAGGGATGTGCACAGTGAAAGTTCTCACAGTTATTTAATCTGGGATTCTTTTAGAGAGTGTCGCTTTCACTTTCGTTTTCATGCAAGTCTTTTTGTATAAAACAAAAGGGAAAGCTTCTTTCAGGTTCTTTCATTTTGGGTTTCACATTCATGCTTCCCAGCATTCCAAAAGTCCTTCAGAACCCTTAAAAACTACTCAAAAAAAGGAAGAAAGAAAAGAAAAGAAAGAAAAAGAAAAAAAGGAATAAAAAAGAAAAAAAGACAGGTAAGGCAACAAAAGAATCAATCTACTCCAAAAGCAGCAACAGTATATGAGAAAGAAAAATCACCAGATGCAGTCACTAGATTATAAACAACACCTCTGGCAGTGCCCACCCTTCAATGGACATGAGCACCAGAGGTCACACAAAGTGACCCCCCCCCAAAAAAAGATACTCCTCCACGTGTCCTATGTGAGCACCAGAGGTCACACAAAGTGATCCCCCCCCCCAAAAAAAGATACTCCTCCACGTGTCCTATGCAGAAAGGATGAAATACCTCACTTGTTTACTAGCCAATTCAAAAGCAGGGAAACACTCAAAAATTAGCAAAGGGAGAACAACAGTATGGATTCAGTGACAGTGCCACTCAACAAACACAACAGACTTTCTGGCCTGGGCAGCAAAAGAGAGAGAAAAGCAATCAAAACAAAACAAAAAAAACAAAACAGAACAAAAAAAAAGGCAGAAGGAAGCAGCCAGACAGCCTGGCAACAGCTGCTTGCCTGGTATGCATCAATACGACCACCAATAGCAGCAACACAAAAGAGAGAGAGAGAGAGAGAGAGAGAGAGAGAGAGAGAATAAATACACAGTACATAAACCAAATAATAACTTTAAAAACCAATCAAACAGGGAAAGCACAAACCCATATATAGAGGAAAAATAACAAAAACACAACAATAGAGCCCTATCTCCCAATACCCAAGAAAAGGACGCAAGCAAGCAAATAAACGCAAAAAATACAACCAATTTCCAAAGCCAAAAATACTAGAATGAGATGAGATTTTCCATCCCTATTTGATGCCAACTCTTCTCAAGTCCAGCAGGCAGACCAGGCACACATCAAAAATAATCTAAGAAAGGAAAGAACTAAAGTGGGGGGGGGGAAGAATCGCTGAAGAAATTGGGGGGGATTCTAAAGCAATATAACAGCACAGGCAGACTGCCTGGTGGCAGCAGCAAAAATAATCCAAAGAAATAAGATGGCCTCCCTGCCAAATCAAGAAAAAAAATTCAAAAGATCCAACATGGAAGTGCAGAGGCAAACAGCCACAAAGACAAGTAGTACAATCCAAGATGGAGAAGCTTGAACACTCATAAGGAGTGGCTGAAGCAAAGAAAGAGCACTCTTCACTGGGATCCAACAAATCTACATCCATTTACAGATTCAAAATTCCCATTCCTCTCGGACATCCTATAGGTTGCTGACAGCAGCCTCTGTGATGCCACAGGATGAAAAATTTTCCAGGCCATTTGATAAAGAGTACAAGAATGGTTAAATGAAAGAATATTTTTTTAAAAAACACAAAACGTTTGTGTAGCCTTCTTTCATTAACATGAACCATCCATGTTTTAGGAATCAACAAAAGAACACGAAAACAAAAATAAATAGAACATTTGTGGTTTTTTCCTTCTGTTAAATATCAAAAGTCCATTCCTAGTATAGCTAGTGTATCTTCATTTCATAGAAGAAATAGAAAATATGAGAAGATCACCCACTAAAGAGAATGTCAACTGGATCTCCCACAAACTTCAATGAATGAGCCAGTCAAGAACATAGAAAAAGTGAGGTGTAGAAGCACCCATCAGGCAGTCAGCCACATGAACCAGTGGAGACAATACCTTTGATCTCATCCATCCACTAGGTCTCCATTTCCTAAACCCTGGATGCACACACTCCTCTTTCTACTAATAGCCTGTGTACAAATAAGACAGGATTTTGGAGAACTTTTTTTTTTCAGTTCTGCTTGGATTCTGCAGAAATAAGTGGCTAAGAAATACAAAGAATAAATCTGACTGGTGAGATCCCATTAAAACTAAGAAGGTTTTTTTGGGGGGGGGGTTATAAATCCTAATTTCTAAAGGGAAGGAGGATAGCTCCAAGATCCTGGATTCAGATTATGTGAGCTTTCAATTTCTGCCTTGTTTTGCTGCTGATGAACTATGTGCAGCAGTCAAGAACTTGCCCACTTTAGTGCAAAGAAGGATGCTCTGTCTTATGTCCAGGAATGGGCAAAGTACCACTGATATTGCCAGACTACAACTGCAATCAGCCCTGCCCAGTATATCTCAAGGTAAGGAATGGTCGGCGTTTCAATTCAGCAGTATCTTGAGGGCCACACTTTGCTACAGTTCTTGATTTCAAAAGAAACAAGAGCAGAGGCAGCTGCATGTATACGCTGGGTTTT